TATTTTAATAATTAGGGGTAATTTTGATAATTAACATTACATTCCCACTAAAGTGCTTATAAATCAAACACTGCAATGTTATCTTCTCTGTATTTTAAGCATTATTTTGCTTACATGCCAAACACTGTAATGTTATTTTTCCTGTAATCACATTACTTGCAATCACATTACCTGTAATCAAATTGCATTGTAATGTACCAAACGTCACCTTAGATGGCTCAAGTTACCACCACCATTTGTAATGTTAAAAACATTACTATTATAACTTATGGCGTGCCAAAGATCATTGTGTGTTCATGTGTTTGTTACGGTGTTATGTTATATTTTCGTTTCTTATGGCACGTTTTATCTATAGTTATGTGCAAATTTTAATAATAAATAATGAATAATGCTCTTTATTTGATTTATAATATTGTTTGCTTATTCAAATGCTTATGCATCGTCAATTGTTTTTATTAGACGATTTAATAATTTTTTATTTAAATTTTATTTCAAACATATAAAAATTGCCATCTTTTTGTTATAATGACATATTGGAATTTAAAATGAAAATACAGCGAGATTCATATATTTTCTAATTTGATGCAATATGCGTTTTATTAAATTTTATATTTTAATTATTTGGTAAAATTGAATTAAGCAACAATTTAACTCACAATGATTATTCATTTATTTTTCAATATCATATCTTTTTGTATATTTTAACTCACCACCACACTTTTTCACAATAATATCAAGGTATAATATTTAAAAAGCTCTTAAATTATTTAAAAAATTTAAATAAATCTTTATACTTTTATTATTTTTAATCAAGTTTTTGTATTTTTATTTTGAGTAAAAAAAACTCGTATACTTTTATTTTGAATCAAATAAGATATTATAATTAATGATTAATTTAATTCAAATGTCATTTGTCATTCTGTATTACGTAATGTTAATGTGGCACACTAATATATAATTGTTGATGTTGATGTGGTATATTAATATGTTATAATGGATGATAATATGTCATATTAATTTGACATGATAATGACTATATAATATTTTTCACTATCTGCATCAATGTTATATTAGTGTTACGTGGATATAAAATGATAAATAGTATTTTAATTAATGATAATTACTTACAAGAATTTATTTAATTAAATATAATAAAAATATAAAAATTTAATTAAATATAATAAAAAATAATAATTTATTTAATTTTTTTTAGCACTATGCACGATATCAAATGCTAAAAAATCTCAAATCAGCATTGAAGCGATAATTTCTTGACTTCAAATACACTGTTTTCAACCGCAACAGGCCGAACTAAACCTTAGAAGGCTAAAGGGTATGCTTGCTGGCTTGAAATGGCCTTAGCTCTTTCAGTTTTACTCTATTTGGGCCAGAGGCCCTTTCCAATGTTGAAAAAGCAGATGAATGTTTACGGGCCGAAACTCTAAACCCAAGTATAAAAGGCAAAGAAGACACACTCTTCTTCGGCGGCAGCAAAACCCCCCCCCAAAAGTCCTTCAGCATCAAAAACCTTCCGAGTCTTCATTCAAATCATGCATTGCCTCAAAGCCAACGGCTAATCCATTCATCCTCGTCCAATCAACCTTTTCTTTTTGTAACTTCATTCTCCATTTTCATTAGCAATTTTAAATTATCACCAAAACCCTAACCTTATCCCTAAAACTCACCAACTTCACCCAATGACAAAGGTCCACGGAACCGGCGTTTACGACTTCAAGCGCCACCATGTGGCCGAGTACCCAGTCGAGTTCACTGACAAACTGGACTCAAAATCCGGCCCCGGTTCATCCCTTCCCAGCTCTATTACTTTATCTGAAATCCAGCGAGACCAGCTGACTAGGATAGCCACGGCAAATTGGCTAAAGAGTGGCGGTTCGAAGCCTAACAAGCCTTTCGATCCTCAGCTAGTTAAGGAGATTTATGACACGGAGCTTACTGTGAAGTCGGAGGGGAAGTCGCAGAGGAAGACAGTACCGTTGCAAAGGGTTATGATATTGGAAGTCAGTCAGTATTTGGAAAATTACTTGTGGCCTAATTTTGATGCTGAGACGGCGTCGTATGAGCATGTTATGTCAATGATATTGATGGTCAATGAGAAGGTAAGTGTTTTTTATAATTAATTTTGTTTTACATAATTTGGAGTTCATAGATTTAAACTGTTGCAGTTACTGATTCGTTGTTGGTTTTGCTTCTCGATTTTTTATTCTACAAGCAAGAGATGAAAATACACGTTTTGATGTAGAAGCAAATAATGAGTAATGCTGTTAAGTAGTTATGTTAGAGTTGGTGTTAGAAATAAACTAAAATATTGAAATATAAATGTTTTTGAGAACAAAATGCATGATATTACTTTTACATAGTTATGTTAAAGTTGGTGTGGGATTTTAGTCTTTTGCTCATTTTTAATCAAGTATAATTTTAGTTTCTTTTGCATGTTTTTGGTGTTTAATAACATTTTAGGAAGCGAAAAGTAAGAAGTAAATAGCAAGCTTGAATTAATTCAATGAGTGACTCCGGACAATTTATCTTTGAACATTGCAGTTTCGAGAGAACGTGGTTGCTTGGTCATGCTTTTATGATCAGAAGGATGTGTTCACAGGATTCCTTGAGAGGGTCCTTCGCCTGAAGGAGGTTTGTATTGATGATTCTCTCAATTAGTACAATTGAGGGCTTGTTAAATGTCTAATTAAAATTTGATTAATTTTCTAAGAAAGTATCTAATGGTATAGAAGAACTCCCCAAGCTATTCTATTTGATGTATGATCTTGTAGATGTGGTCATATTTGTTTCATTTCTTCAAACAAAAGCGCTAAATGTAGTACTTCAGTATTCTTTGTTTAGAAAATATTGACACATAGGTTGAATTTTTGATAACCTGATTTGGATGCAGGGAAGAGACTTAACCATTGCAGAGAAAACGAATTATCTAGTTTTCATGATCAATGCTTTTCAGGTAATTTAGTGCCATGAGGACACTATTAGTAAATGCATTTATACATTACAAATTCATGTATTGTCAAATATTTGCTCTTTAGTAGCAGTTATTCTATTGATGATAATTTGTCTTTCGGTTGATAAATTTTAGCATGCTTTGACTAGTCATTTCTGGATGGAATCTAGATGCCTTGATTGTTTACCCACAAGAGGCTCATGTCAATGAGCCAGGATATGAGTAGTACTAATAAACATAGGAAAATAACATGTTCCATTCATCTACTTTCATGGTTGTTTAAGTGGTGAAAGTGTATTATGCTATATTCATCATAAGGCTGGGGATGTAGGTGTTTAAGATAACGGTTTAACGCAAGTAGAGAGGATAAGAGGATAAAGGTAGACTTGAAAATCACATTGGTTGGAATAGTGAGGATGTTTCTAGACAACACATGTAAAAGTTTCCATTGTGTTCAATATTGAGCAAATTGAAATGGAGAAATTTAATATCTCTGCATTGGCAACAAATGTGTTGAATAGTTGCTTTTGAATATGGCATTTGTTCTGGGATTCTGCTATTTGCCTTTGTTTTTCTTCATGTTCAAGCATTGTCACTTCAGGGGCATGCAATTGCTGGTGAGCAACATCCTGTCTACCACCAACTGCACCCTATACCTACCCATTCATCAAACAGGCACCAAATTTATCAGTGCATGGTAATATAGCATGTCCAATCTGAGGTAAAAAGAAGGAAGAAGTAATGGGATAGGGAGATATTGTTCAGAGAAAGAAGACTATAAGTACCTGTTTGGCCTGGCTTTTTTTTAGCTTAAAAGCTATTATGAAGCTCTTATGAAAAATAATAGCTTTTAAAATTAAGCTAAATCTGTTTGGTAAATTTATTTTTATAAGTTCTTTTTTATAAATAAGTTGTTTGATAAAATAATTTACATAAGTTTTAATTTTGATTAAAATTACCATAAAGGTTATTTAATAAATAATTCTTTATTAATCACAAATTCTTTTGTTCACAATGGAAAAAAGTTAATTTTAGTTTTTTATTTATAAAAAGTATTTTTATATAACATAAAATTTATAATTAATAATAAATCATATAAAAATGAAAACAAATAATGTTGGAATTATTTTTAATGGATGAGGACATTTTTGAAACAAAAAGAAAAATTTTCCTAAAAAAGAGGCGTGTTTTTGAAAAAGAGGAGACAGCTATTATTTTACAGCCAGAGGTCTTATCTTACAGCTTATTATTTAAAGCTCTTTTTTTTTCAAAATTTTGTTCTTTATAAAAAACCTACTTATTTTTTAAGAGCTTTTTCAAATTTTTGTCTGGTCTGGCTTTGGCTTTTAAGAGGTGGATAAGCTGAAAAAAAGCTAGGCCAAACAAGCACTAAATTATTATTGCCTGAACTCTTTGCCAAAAGATGGTGGTGCAAGGCTTCGGGGGAGATAGAAGGGGAGACAGAGGGGCCAGATGTTTAGAAGAGATAAAGTGAGAAGTTGTGGGTGGCAGAATGAGTTTGCATCATTTTACAAATAACATCTCTTTTGTCCCTAAGGGGACACACTAGCGCTTATCTTACAGCCAGAGGTCTTAGTTTGAATCATGGAATGGGTGGGTGGGATTTATGGGATGGTAGACAGCTATCTCGCATTCTGTAGCTCAAAATTCTTATGTACCCCTTTGCCTTTCAAAAAGAAGATAAAGTTAATACCTCTTTTGCCATAACTGCAATCAGGGATTAGGGGACAATGGACTACCTTCTTAAAATCACTGGAAAATTGGAAAATTGTTTCATTTTTGGATCAAATGAGTTAAGTTTCTTTTTATTAATAACTTGATTCCCCTCTGTGAACAAGTTTACAGAAAATTAAAAAAAAAATCAATGGCTCCTAACCTTAAACTGGTTGAATGGAAGAACGATTTGTGTACTCTGCCCCAAAACAGTATGTTAGAGCTGAAGATGGGAAACTATACTTGAAAAGTATATGTGTAGACATAGAACAATCTTCCGGAGCGCCTATCTGTTTTCTGATGTTGTAACTATTGAATGTAACAGAGTTTGGAAGATGAAATTGTAAGGGAAACTGTCCTTAGATTAGCAAGTTTGCGATCCTGGCACAGTTTGTCATATGGTCGTTTTCAGGTAAGGGTTTATTGGATAACTTGTATCTAAAATCCCTCTTTTCCCTGTGGGTATCTGATTTTCCTTTCTCATTTGTAGATGGAACTTTGTCTTAATCCTGATTTGATCAAGAAATGGAAAAGAATGATAAAGAAAGAATCTGATGATGCTAAGAAGCAAGGCATACATCTTGATCCCTTATCTTCATTGGAAGTAAACTTTTTGAGAAATCTGATAGAAGAGTTTCTTGAGGTACTCTGCTGGAAAATTAGTTGCTGTTGTTGTTTTTTTTTTTTTTTAATTGGGGAGGTTGGGTTGGGGATGTTCAACGATTTTGCAGCACGTAAATTGCCATTTTTCAATGTTACTCAGGTGCTTGATCACAAGGTGTTTTCCAAGAAGCATTCTGTTAATGAAGATGACGAACTTGATGCTAGTAGTTTCGAGCAAGTTGATGATGCTTCTGTCTTGTACTGTGAGAGGTTTATGGAATTTCTTATTGATCTATTGAGTCAACTGCCAACAAGGAGGTATCTTTGCCCTGCAACAGGGTCTTGTATTCTTTTAGTTTTTAACAAATTTGTTTCCCTGTTCTTGTTGTTGGTTTTTTTTTTCCTGCTCTTTTAGGAAATGAAGGGGGGAGGTTTGACTTTTAACAGAAGTCTTATTGTTTGGGAAACTCCTTTCTCATCTGCTTTCTTACTTTTCTTTCACCCTTCTTTTAATTATCATCTTCGTTTCTCAGTTTCATTGTATTTTTTGAGGTACAGGTACCTGAGGCCTCTTGTGGCTGATGTAGCTGTTGTTGCCAAATGCCATTTAAGTGCTCTTTATAGATGCAACGAAGGGAAACTCTTTGCACAACTTGTGGACTTGCTACAGTTCTATGAAAATTTTGAGATAAATGATCATGTTGGCACTCAGTTGACAGATGATGAGGTGCTTCAATCTCATTATGATCGCCTTCAATCCTTGCAGCTGCTTGCTTTTAAGAAAATTCCTAAGGTTTGTCATAAGCAGTTGGTTTATCTACAAATGCTTCTCACTAGCACAATGCCCTATCTTTTATAGTTCATAGATTTCAGATCTATGAAGTATTGATGTTGTAAGTGATATCTAAACCTTTTTTCCTTTTGTTTCTATGGTGATTGTAGTTGCAAGAACTTGCACTGGCCAACATTGGTGCAATACACAAGCGTGCAGATCTCTCAAAAAAATTATCCGTTCTTTCTTCTGAAGAATTAAAGGACTTGGTTTGCTGTAAGGTTCGTAGGTTGTGAAGTTTTTTGTTTCTTGTGAAACCAGGATTTTCAAAGAATGAAGTTATGTTGAGATGTTCGCTCCGAATGTGTGGCAGTTGTCATGGTTTATGGGTTGTAATTTAAGTTCTTTTAACTTACTTTTTTATTTTGTTAGGGTTAGGATTTAGTTTGTCAATACTTTATGTTATTTCAGGTTTCATTAGGTCTTGGATGATGAACTATTGATTCTGAGACTTTGAAATCTTGAGTGTTGAGATTTTTCTCACTCTATTGATTTTTTTCTGGTTTTCTCCCCTAGTACATCTGTTTCTCCATCATTGCTTCTATTTCTGATTTTTCCTCTAACTTCTATTATCTATCTCTCTTTTTTTTCCCTCCTTTTTCTACATCAATCAGCATTTTGTTATTCTGTTGGTCAATGCCTGACTATCTTGCTTAATTAGTACAAGATTATTCTAAATCCTCATGTTTGCTTTGCCATGTTTTTTGCTTTATTCAGTTAGCTCCAAAACTTGTTTTCTTTTGATTGTTAGTTTGGCCGGCGATATGCTTGCATGCTCACCTTTCTGTGAATGATTACCGTTACTATAACAATATTACCATTTTAGTTTCTGAGTGCTGAGATCATTGCTTTATTAACAGATTTACCATTTTTCTTTTCAGCTCAAACTGGTCTCAAAGAGTGATCCTTGGTCAGATAGGGTTGATTTTCTCATTGAGGTGATGGTCTCCTTTTTTGAGAAACAGCAATCTCAAAAGGAAGCCATAAATGCTCTTCCTCTCTACCCAAATGAGCAGATTATGTGGGATGAAAGTGTTGTGCCAAGTATTAATTACTCTGGTGAAGGTTGTCTAGCTCTTCCAAAGCTTAACCTACAATTCTTAACACTCCATGATTATCTTCTAAGGAATTTCAATCTCTTCCGTCTTGAATCTACATATGAAATTCGTGAGGACATCCAAGAAGCTGTTCCACACCTTCTTGCCTACATCAATAATGAGGGAGAAACTGCTTTTCGTGGGTGGTCAAGAATGGCTGTGCCAATAAAAGAGTTCAAAATCACTGAGGTAAAGCAGCCAAATATCGGAGAAGTCAAGCCAGCTTCCGTAATTGCAGAGGTTACCTACAGCATTTCTAGTTATAGATCACGAATAAGATCAGAATGGGATGCCCTTAAGGAGCATGATGTTTTATTTTTGCTATCTATTAGCCCCTCATTTAAGCCTCTAAGTGCAGAGGAAGATGCTAAAGCTAGTGTGCCAGAGAAGCTTGGCCTTCAATATGTACGGGGATGTGAAATTATTGAGATCCGTGATGAGGAGGGAACTCTCATGAATGATTTTAGTGGAAGAACTAAACGTGAGGAGTGGAAGCCACCAAAAGGTGAACTAAGAACTGTGACTATTGCTTTAGATACTGCACAATATCACATGGATGTGACTGACATTGCTGAAAAAGGTGCTGAAGATGTTTATGGGACATTTAATGTGTTGATGAGGAGGAAACCTAAGGAAAATAACTTCAAAGCAATTTTAGAGTCTATCAGAGATCTTATGAATGAATATTGTATTGTTCCTGATTGGTTGCATAAAATATTTTTGGGCTATGGGCATCCTTCTGCTGCACAGTGGACAAACATGCCTGATCTTCTAGAAACAGTGGATTTCAAAGATACTTTTCTTAGTGCAGACCATTTGAAAGATAGTTTTCCACATTATCAGGTTTTACTTTTTCTTTACTGATCAATGTTTACTTCTAATGCTGCAGTTTAATGTGTTCTGGAGAATGCTGAAACCTTCTTTTCTTGTTCTGTTTCAAGGTTTACTTTGTTGATTCAGATGGTAGAGAAAATTTGGATCCAAGGCCACCTTTTCGTATCAAGCTTCCTCGGTTGCTTAAAAGCGATACTCATGCTCTGTCAGGAAATGGAAGATCTGATACTGGTTCACTGAATGATGCCAATATGGTGCACGCTTGTGTTGAGAAAGAAAAACTAATTGTTGAAGCATACATCCCTCCGGACCCAGGTCCTTATCCTCAAGATCAACCAAAACAGAACTCAGTTAGATTTACACCTACCCAGGTATCAGGAAACTCTTTTTGAATTTAATGGAAATTTTGTTGATATCTTATTTGTCTCTATTTCAGTTTTTATCTTGGAATTTTAATAATGTTGTTAGCTTCATGTGTCCTTTTTACTTTACTGACTTATTTGTCTCTCAGTTTTTATCTTGGAATTTTAATAATGTTGTTAACTTCCTGTTTCCTTTTTACTTTACTAAGTGAATTCTGTGCATTTTTTTATTTCGTTTGTTTTCTAAGATAAATAATTGGGGCAGGGAGGTGTATGATTCCGCTAATTAGACAATTTATGGTCTTTTAATAGTGTGCAACTCTTTTCATATGTTTTGAGTTTTTCACTCACTTGTATCTAAGTTGTTCCTGAAGAGACCTTATGAATGACACTTCATTATGCTTTTGCTAGCATATGTGTATTCTGTTTGCTTTGAGAGATGTTAGAGGATTACTAGTAATCTAATGGAATGATTGTTTGATACCTTTACTTTGTTTGATAGGAGAATGTTTCTTGGACACCTGCATGACAGCAGAAAGTTACTTTAATCCCTGCAGTTTCTGTTACTGGAATCTTACATTTCCAGTAATCTTTTATCTTTGGCATTCCTATTTGCTTTATTCAATTGGTAAACCACTGAGAGAAGATGGGCTTCCAAGGTTTCCTGTTAGTATAGAGGAGGTTAGGTTGTGTCTAAGAAAAATTACTGACAAATTTACTAGGGATCCTATATGCTAACAAATTTACTAGGGATCCTATATGCTAACAAGACATTAGATATCAAAGATAGTGTAGGTATCTGCTTCATAGAAATCTAGCATGTTGGGATGAGATGCCCCAAAGTTACCTTGCATCTCAAAATGAACATACCCATAATTGATTGTAGTATTTAGCTGGAACTAGACACGGAGGAGTTGGTAATATAGGCTTATCTCTTTTAAAACTATAATTTGGAATGGTTTCTATTTTCTAACATATAAGAGGGATGAGAAATGATATAAGATGAGAAGTTAGACTTCTTTGCATTCGTGTTGCAACAATTCCTTTTCTAGGATTTGGTATATCACTCTTTCACATTAAATTGCATATTTCGAATCTGTCAACTTCTATCTTTGCATTCCTGGTTCATGTTAATGTAAAAGTTTTTCTTGTTAATTTGGTTTTAGCTTCAACCTGAATAGTTGTTTCCTGTGCCACTTAACAATGTGCTTTCAAATTAAGGACTTTGTTTAGTGTGATTGTTATTTTACCCCAATATGGGAGCCTCCTGCTCTGTATTGTTACTTCACCTTAAAAAATGAGGTTGTAATAGCAACTTAGTCGTCGGCAGGTAGTGTCGAAGAATTATAATGTTCTTTCTGTCTTTTCTTGTCTTGTACCTTCATTTTGAAAAGAGTTGAAATATAATAGTTCTTCCTTGAAGAAAGCTTAATAGAAGAGATCCCAATTTATTGTTTCTCATTTCAGTGGATGATGACTACTGCTTTGTTGATGCAAACTACTTAATATGGTAGCTTTAATAAGTGGTTAGGGTATCGGAATGGAACTCTTCAGCTTGAGAAAAGTTGACAATTCCCTTTTGCTTGTATTACTTTCATTCACCTTGCTTTTCTTTTCTCTCATTTTATCAAGAAGAGTTTCCACTTATCAGTAAAATGGAGGAGTTGGTTCAATTTGGTTATGCCTGGACAATTGTGTCAATACTTAAACGTGTGTTTTATGAGAGACTGTGGTAATTGACAGCTTTCATAATGATGCTTTACTGTTTTCAAATCATTATTTCTTTCTTTTTTGGTTCCTGTTGGCCTCTTTTTTTTTTTTTTCTCTTTTTAGGAAAGACGATTTTTTAGAAAAGAGTTATAAATGCCTGCATGTTTTGGACTTTTCATGAATACGGTTATTGAGAAATATCATGCCTAGAAGTGTGATATTTTTTCTAGAGATCTTGATGTGATTTCCTGACCAGTTAACTCTTGAGATCTAAAGAGTATCCATAATTTTCGTAGAGAATTTCCCTGAGGTGAAACATCACTTCCTAATTTTCGCACTGTTTTTGCAGACTTAGGAGCGATCATATCAGGTATGTATTACACTGCGGATTAACTTTGGTTGTGGTCTACCTAGTGAACGGGTAAGAACCGAATACGGGCGGATGCAAATGATTGAATGTCTCTCTTATCTACGAATTGATCCTCTCAGTAGAACATAAATAATTACTCATTCAAATCAGGCTTTTATGCTAACATAGGACTTTATTTTTAAGAGACAGTGATACCATGGGAGAAATCCGCATCATAAGATTCTTCTAAGGAACTAAAATATCACTTGCTATCATGGATGATATGTGCTATTCTCATAGCTAAATATAACCTGTGATGGCATAGCATATGAATTATTTCACTTACGAAGTAAAACATTGTTGCAGAGATCTTTTATGATAGTGAGTTTACCCTTTTAGGTTTTTGCCGTAAAGAGGATGTCGTCTGCACGTCACCTCAAATTTCTTCGTCTTGGGTGCAGAGGGTGAAGCAAAGAGACTAAGCAACAGGATACTAGGAAAATCAGTAGGCACGCGGTCGTCGTCGCAACTCGACCTCTGTTAGACGGCCTAGAAAAGCAAAAAGTGAGAGGAAAGAGAGATGGCTATGCTAAGTATTGCCTACACTTACCTGAAGATAGTGAGGACTATATTCCATTGTGTAAACTGCACGGATATAATTAGTGCCGTTGGTCTCAATCATTGATGTATTCACCACTGAGAGAGAGAGATCTCCCCTTATGACTAGACTCATCGTTGCGGAGGTAATGGAAATTGGATACACAACAATAGTCACCTCTTCGCCCAGTTCAAGAGCCGCTTTCCATATATCAAGGAAGTTTTTCTCCAACACTTCAGGCTCTCTTACTGGCCAATCATTTGAGAAAGATATCGCAGCCAAGGGTGCTTTCGTCATCTAAAGACTATGTTCCAAGATTGAGAGTGCAGGGCATTTGAATTGCTCAAATCAACAGCTGATCGAGCAAAAACCTGATGACCAAGCAGCAAAGATTGTGGCGATGACATGTACGCATGCAGCCCTAAAGAAGAGGATTTCCTTAACTTGGTTTCAAGTATGACAACTGTTGATGGAAGAAGTGCCCAGATACTGGAGATTGAAACTTTATCCACATAGTTGCTCCAAGGCAGGAAGATGGTATGCTCGGCTTAAACGTGCATATGATTGGTGACATCACCAGCTGCCCCCTGTTGTGAAAAATATGGCTTTCCAAAAGTACAGCCACATGGATCAGAGTTTGTTTACAAGGTTTGTTCGGCTGGGTATTCCTTACATTGAGCTTAATGCTCAGGGTAGAGCCAGGCCAAGTATAGCCCAACTTTACAACTGGAGGTATCGGGATTTGGGGGACCTTCCTTATGTGAAAGAGGAAGCTATCTTCCATAGAGCAAATGCTGGATTTTCCTATGATTACCAACTAGTGGATGTGCCTGATTACCATGGGAGAGGTGAGACTGCCCCCTCTCCTTGGTTTTATCAAAATGAAGGGGAGGCTGAATATGTTGTCAGTGTCTATATATACATGCGATTACTTGGCTACCCTGCAAATAAAATTTCCATCTTGACAACTTACAATGGTCAGAAGCTTCTGATTCGTGATGTTATCAACAGAAGGTGTCTTCCATATGATTTCATTGGTCCACCCAGTAAGGTTAGTTACTTCAGATTTTACCTGTCGTTAATGTTTGCTTAGATATCATGGGTGGTGTGGGTTACGGGTAAATCATTGCACTGTGAAATAGTGAAGTTATGGTTGGTATTGATAAATGGTTTTTCTTAGTAGATTGGACGCTATATTTCAAGAGGTTGCCTTCATGGATTTTTTTTCAGCCATATAAATGCCCTTGTTGAAATATTTATTTTTATATGCTGAGGCTATTTTCATATGTTGTTCTTTTTTTTTTTTTGAAAATTTCATATGTTGTTCTCATTAATGGATTTATAGGTTACTACAGTCGATAAGTTTCAAGGCCAGCAAAATGATTTTATTTTGCTTTCTCTTGTTCGTACTCGCTTTGTCGGTCACCTCCGTGATGTTCGAAGATTGGTGGTTGCCATGTCACGTGCTCGCCTTGGCCTGTATGTGTTTTGTCGACGCTCTCTGTTTGAACAGTGTTATGAACTCCAGCCTACTTTCCACCTGCTGCTTCAGAGACCTGATCATCTTGCTCTAAATTTGAATGAGAGCACGTCATTTACTGAACGACATGTTGAAGACATTGGGCATCCATATCTTGTTGGTGGTGTTGAGGAGATGGCGAACATAGTTTATGAGAAAATAAATCAATTACAACAGGTATTCCACTTTTGTTTGTTGATATATCATTTTTGTTCTTTTCTTAGGTGGTTATTCATGTTTTCAATGATCTTTTTAGTGCAATCACATTTTATCAAAGTGACATTGGAACTTTAATTTATAGTCTAGTGAATCATCTCTCGATATGGTTTAATCCATTAGTAATAGTAACAACTCTCATCATGTAATCATTGATTAGAGAGTTGTTGATTTATCTATACAATTTTCTCCTTTTTTTGTTCTACCTACTTTTCATGAGTCAAATAACCTAATGGTTTTTGTTCTTAGCGTAATCTATTGGAAACATTGATTTTACTCTTTCCACAACCATATAAGAGGACATGTCTTTTTGTGTTTCCTTTTGTGGAGAAAGTTGTAGTCTATCTTTAAGTTAACTCATCTCTGACTGTGTTAGGAATGATGTGAGTGATTAGAGCTCTATTTTAAGCATTTTTATCAGGAAAACCATACCTCCTGTTAGTAGGCTAATGCTCATATTTCATTAAAGTTTGGTACATTTTATTTATTTTTATTCTTCAGGCACGTGCCATGTATCAGTACTTGCCTTATTCTGGACAATACATGGGAACATCAGAGGAGCAAAATAGTGAGCACAATTCAATATCCTCAAACCAGGCCATGGACATTGATACATCAGTGGCTGAAAATGGTAGAATTGATGACAATGTACATGAAAACAATGGAGAGGAAGCTAAAGATGTGGATGGTCTTGCAAATGGTCCAGATGGGGTGCTACCTCCAGAGAACCTGTCAAATGCAGAAAAAGATGCTGAAGTTTGTGCAAATGATGAAAACAGGGTGCCCTAGTTAAGAAAGAAATTGATGCACTTCAGTCCTCCTTCCTTGAGTTGCACAGGTAGCCAACAAGCATCGGAGAAGACAGTGCTTTTACCTTAATTATAGAGAACTGCTGCTTTCCTCCAGATGTGGCTTAACTATAGATCTTCATAGCTGCTGTTCATATGGAGGTGTTAGAGCTATAACCTTCTTGCTTTCCGGACCTTGGGGTGACATGTTGAAAGGTAAAGTGTTTTGGATCCTTCTATTCATGCGGCTTAAAGCTTCTAGCTGACGAAGGAGTGACAAAGGGACATGAAAGTGATGAAAGGGACATTTCGAAGATTCACTAAGTTTCAATTGCATCATGTGGGAGAAAAAAGGGATAAAAGACCAGATTTTGGTGCTTAATATTTGTCTAATTGTTTCCCTCCTAGTAAACGAAAATGATGAGAGTTTGGTGTAGGGTAACAGGCCATAGTGAAGCTTTTGTGTATTGTATTGTAGTGATGACCTTATTTGCTTAACTTAATTTAGTGTAGTCATCAGAGATAACAGAGACTATTGATTCTCATTGCCCTCTGAGTGCTTTGACTGAAATTTTAACTAGTATACACCTTAACCAGACCCATTTTATCATACCTCCATGGCAAGTCAACTGGGTTTATATTGGGTTGTCTTTGTAGTGTACTTGGGTTTGTCTTTGTTAATGGGTTTCCAATCAAATTTTTAACTCTACAGTATACAGACATAGATCAATGCAATGTCCTTCCAGTTTCAAACATCTAACTGCAAATGACAAGATAGAAATGGCACGACAACATCTTTAAACATTGAACTGAAATCTTCTATATGTTTAGATAAAAACAGGGACGATTCCCTGCATTAAGCCCACATTCACCACATTGATTTCTTGCATCATTTTCCAACTAAACCTTTGTAGGGGTATCCACTTCTCCAAACATTCTAGGCAATTCATCCAGCACATGGTACAGCCAAGTTGCAAAGAGATTTTGAACACTAAAATTTGAGCAACAAGCCTCATGGTGCCTCTAACAGGAAGGTGAGCAAAAGTAACAAGAAACTAGCAAGATAACATCCAATGGGAAAAGTGAAATCTTTCAACCAGTATTTGCAATCTGATAGGAAATAGCATCCAAATTTTCCGGTTTAAACTAGTGTGCTCTTGATGTATATCCTCTTATTATTATGAGAAAGTTGGATGTTTTTCCAAGGACAACATAAAGTAAGCAGTAAAATTGGCAAGAAAGGCTAATAAATCTACAGATTGCAATGTCAAAGATTATCAAACAATTATCAATCAACTAAAAGAAAGCTTCACTTATCAATTTACATAGCACTTGTAGCATAAATTTTCTTTATAAAGGATCATAGCAATGTAAGGAGGGATCAATGAAAAATAAACTAAAAGTTTCGGATTATTGTTATTAACTTTAAGCTGCAATGCATTCTAGTATTTTATGATGATTTCTTTATTAAATTTAGGTCAATACCTCTCTTGAGCATCAAGTGTACTGCTTATAATCTGCATCATGATTACTACTAAAGCAATCTGTGCTCATTGTAATCACTAACCCAAAATATAGGCTTATTGTCTAACTAACTCAACAAAAGCTTTCTAGCATGATTGACTCTTTAAAATACATTTTTAATGATCCAAAAGCAGGTATTAGGAATGACCGGGCACTAGACTTGAGGAGGAACTAAAAGAGATGATGCAAAAACAGACACGTATGCATGCACGCATGTATATTGGATTACATGTTGTGGCATATCCTTAAGCAAGAACACATGTAAACACCAACTTGCTTCATGTCCAGCCACATGGAATGAATATTGAAAGGGTAATAAGTGAAAATGAAACTGGAAGAATATGTAATTAGTCGGCTAAGATGATTAGCCATGACAAAGGGTGCCAGAATTAGCAGGAATGGTAAGCAGTTGAAAGAGTCTATGACTGCATTTGAGATCTTGTGCACTAAGCATATCGTCTGGGATGTTAAGGAATTACGTGGCAAGGCCAAATCAAGCAGTAACGGAAGATAGGTAGAACCTGCAAAAAGGAAATGGACACATACACACGTATGGAGAATTTCTCAAAAAGATTACTGGCGAAAATGTGAAACGTGGTGTATAATATTTCTTTAATCTTTAATGCTAAAAGGCCATTACATGACGTGAAAATAGACATGAACACTCTTCGTGGTTTCCAAAAACTTGAATGTTTACACAATCTTGTTGAAAGATTTCAGAACATGGTTGATCTACTTCCTCACAAGACGAGATAATTTAGCAGTGCACGCATCTGCAAAAAGGTCCTCACCGACTATTTCCTTAAGAAGTTGTATTGCCTTTGCGGTATAGCTGATAACAACAGCTATCAGGTAAACAATCATTATCTTCCATGATCCTAAGCAACTGGTATGCTTCATTTGGCAATCCCTCTTAACAACGTCCACTGATCATTAGAGTATATGTGTAAACATCAGGTTTTAAACCTTTCGCAGGGAGTCCATGAAATAATTCCATTGCAAGTTTAATATGCCCAACTTTGCACAGGCCATCAATTAGGATATTATAATAAACAATATCCAGTTCCAACTCAGTGTTCTGCATTGCTTGAAACAATGTCAATGCCTCTATGATTTTACCATGTTTGCATAAGCCATGAAGTAAAATTGAATAGCTCATCAGATCTGGAACTTGTCCAGAAGCACACATCTTCTTGAAAAGTTCTTTTGCAGTAGAAAGCCTCCCTAGTCGACGTGCCTTGTATCAGAGTGCTGTAAGTGATGTTAGACGTGAAAGCTTGATTTGCAGTAGGGTGCAAAGCTTTATTAAAGCGATTGGTAAAGTAACAATCATGTGATTGTCACATGCTCTATTTACTTATATGATGAACGTGCTATGCACATGTTCTTATTTTATTTTATTTTCTTGTTCCTTGTTATTTTCCTTTAGCTGTTAGTGTCACAAAGGGTGCCTCTACCCCACATCAAATAAAACAGGAAATCTTGGGCTCCTTATAAGTGGTGTACTGCACACCTCTATAAGCGCGTTTATGGAAGAGATGATAATGACTCCATGACAAGTGGTATCAGAGCAACGGACCTCATCTGACTCACGCCAAGCGCTTCAACGGATCGAGGTAGACAAGTGGTATCAGAGCAAACTGGACCTCATCTGACTCACGCCAAGCGCTTCAACGGATCGAGGTAGGCAGGGTGGTCGACGGCAGCGAGGACGTTGTCGGAATCGGGTGGGAAAAAGTGTCACAAAGGGTGCCTCTATCCCACATCAGATAGGAACGGGAGGTCTTGGGCTCTTTATAAGCGGGTGTACTACACACCCCTATAAACGCGTTTATGGGAGAGAGGGTAATGACCCCATGACATTAGCTTCAGTAGATGTAATGGCCACATAGCCTATTTCCTTGTTTTTAGGTAATGCATCAGACTGATTCTATGGTTTTCACTTTAAAACCATTTTGCTATGGCATTTTAAAACTAGTAGTTTATTGTATCGTGGGGATATGAATGAGACATTTTCCAGTTTTAATTTGGCTATGAGGTCTCCTTCTTCTTCTTTTTCTTTGGCTTTACTCACTATTGTTGTTTTTTCAAGATTTATTGTTCTTAAAGTTAAAATGGTATCAAAGCGTTTTCTAAATCTTGTGGGACTATGAAAAAGGGTTTTTTTTAGTATTGATTTTCGGTTAGTTTATTGTATCGTGGGGATATGAATGAGACATTTTTCAGTTTTAATTTGGCTATGAGGTCTCCTTCTTCTTCTTTTTCTTTGGCTTTACTCACTATTGTTGTTTTTTCAAGATTTATTGTTCTTAAAGTTAAAATGGTATCAAAGCGTTTTCTAAATCTTGTGGGATTATGAAAAAGGGTTTTTTTTAGTATTGATTTTCGGTTTGATAAGCTTTTAAACTCTTTATTTCAAAGGGCTTCTTTGAATATAACTGTTATTGCTCCTTCGATTTTTCTGATTAAAATTATCAAATGTGGAGAATTAAGATGAAGCTTATTTGAGAGCCTATGACTTGTGGGAGATCATTGCTGCTGAAGGAAATGCCCTTGTTTTGAGAGTTGCTAACTCAACGATTGCTCAGTTGAAATACACAACGATGGAAGAGCTAACATCCTTGATAAATTTTAAGGAGCAAAAAAGATGATTATGGCGATGGATAACCATATCGAGCTCCTTTAGAGGTGGTTTGTAATAGTTAGACCTTATTTGGATGCAAGCATTGACAAAGAAGTATGGGTGTGGGTCAGAGTATATAGAATGACAATCCATATTTGACGCGTTCAAATGTTCAAGGTGATTGCTGAGAGTTAAGGAACATTTATGGGGGTTGATAGGAGTACATATAGAAGAGAATGATTCAATAAGGCACACATGCTGGTGAAAGTTAGGAGTAGATTATTGATTCTCAACAGAACAATATTGGAAGCTGAGGGTAAGTTTTTTCCTATATTTGTCAAGGTGGTAGGGGAAAAATTGAGTAGGTCTATAAAATATTATTCAAATGATAAGAAGGTGATCCAATAGGTATTGAAATTGTTAGGGAAGCATCAAGGCAGTAGAAAGGTAAAAAAGGTGGTGGCAGTAAGAAAGAGAGGCGAAAAAAACACAGATAAAACAATTTAAAAAAAAAGGCTTCAAGATAAAGAAAGCAAAACCATAGTATTAGAGAAATTAGGGGAATTCGAAATAAAGAGGGGCAAGTAGTTGACATAGTATGATTGAGGTAGGGAAAGGTTCACAGTTAGGCAACAAGATATGTAAGTCAATAGTGACAAGAAAAAGCATTGACAAGGGACAAAAGGATAAAAAGTTTTGATAGAAAAAGATGTTCAAGGTATAAGGAATGGTGTAAGGAAGAAAGGAAAATATGGCAACAATTTGAAAAGTAAGGAGTGTAAGTGAGTGTGACATAAAGGATCTTATCAAGAGATAAAGAAGGTGATAGCTTGAGCTTAGAGAGCAAAGTAAAAGCTAGTAGTTATGGGAAAGAAAAATCTAAAAGAAAGGTCTAATAGTGTGGGGAAGTGAAAGGCTAGGTGATAAAAAGCTTGACTTAAAAAGGGAAGGGTGAGTATAGACAAAACAAGTGGATTCAAAGGCTTTAAAAACTTCAGGTTGGGCTAATTTCAACTAGAAAAATAGAGGCCAAGTAAAAATACCCTATTGAACCGAAGAAGGTTGCTTTTCTTAATGGGATATGTCTCTAAAAGATCAAGTCAAAGCTTAAGTCATGGAGAGGAATTTAATGATTGGGAATTAATGCAAGAAATTGAGTGAGAAGCCAACTCCTAGAAAAAGGTGGTTTGTGAGAAAAGAAAATAGTAAAAGGAGAAAGGATATTAAAGAAAAGGAGTGGTAAAAGGAAAGACGCATAGGTAGAGGACACGAGCATTGAAGATTTGTTCACTAAAGGAACCTTTGAAGAGGGAAAAAACATAGTGGAAAGGGAAGGTTTGCAACGGCTTTGGAAATTATCGGAAAACGACGAGGAGGAAAAAGAGTAAAGAAAGAAAAGGAATATGGAAACTTAAGAAAAAATGGCAGAGGGAAACAATCGACTGACAAGTACTCACAAAAGGTAAAAGACAACAAGCAGCTCAGGAAAAGAAATTGGTAAGCTAAGACAGAAAATAAGGAGGAAGAAGAGCATGTTTAGATTATTAAAAGGTAGGTCTTCAAATAGATGAAAGAAAGGGATCAATGAACACATCAAGAAAGGTAGGTCTTCAAAAAATTTGAGGATATCATAAATTATTGAAAACATGACCATTATTATGTAACTTAATTAAGATTGATAAAATTTAACACGATTTGAATGATTTAATTAAATTCAACAACATTTGATTTTAAAACCCAATAACTTAAATTTGAAATGACTTAAGTTCAAATGATTTGAACGCTTGACTTGAATCCAAAATTACTTGAACTTAACATAATCAAATAAAAATAACTCAAATTTAAAAATTCAAACTCAAAATGAAGTGAATTTTTTTTTACTTGGAATTACTCAATCCAAACAACAAAATTAAGTTGGAGATGAATACGTTTTATCCTTTGAGTTTTCAAGTGAAAAGATTTGAAATGATATTAAGCAACATAATCAAAAACATTTCTATTTACTCTCGTGATTATCATGATATCTGAAATAATAGAAAAAGACTTTCTTTATTTCATTTACTGGAAGTAACATAAGAACGTGTGAGACAAGTGCACACAAGGAAGACTATAATCTGGACTCTAGAGCTACAGAAACAGAACATGATATGCTTTATTCTTGTAACGTAGCAAGGTAACTTTTCCTAATTTAACCCAAGTCTCTTCTTGAGCTGCAACATAAAACCATAAATCTCGAGAGGATCAGGGAGTGCCTTACACACGCTCTCACTTTCTTTGCACCTTTTGGCCCATGCAATAAGCTTGGGGCAATCTGCCTCTATGCTGAAATTTCCACATGTCTCGAAAGTGTAAAACCAGCTGGTGAAGGGTACAAGTGCAACGTCCACATACCCAATGCTGTCTCCTCCAAAATAGAGCTTGTCTCCAAGCTCTCCTTCCATGGTCTTCAAGATTTTCATTAACTCTTCCTTTGCTTCCTCTTGGTCTTCTTTTCCCACCCATATTCTCTTTCCACAGCTGTACATCTGCAGCATTTGCAGCACAAACAATAACCATATATGTAAAAAATTTGATGTGCACTCAAACATTTAATTTATTAATTAATACATGATCGATTCGTCTTTAAATTAAATTTTGAATCCCATTCTTCCAATTAAAAAAAATTTTGATATGATTCATGTCACTGAACGTGTGTCTGTGTATGATATGGATTATATCTAATATAAATATAAAGATTAAAGAGAAAATATATAACACTGACCTTCTTATCAAGATAGTCTCCCCAAAACAAGGCCTGTGATCGCTGATAAGGATCAGAAGGAAGCAAAGGCGATTTGTGATTCCAAACTTCATCAATGTATTGGACTATGATGAGAGACTCAGAAATGGGTTTTCCATTATGGATCAAGACAGGGATTTTTTTGTGAACTGGGTTCATTTCTAGAAGTAGAGGACTCTTGTTAAACAAGTCTTCATGCTTGCACTCATATTTTATCCCCTTCTCGGCCAAGGCAATTTTTACTCTCATGGTAAAAGAGCTTGGCCAAAAATCAAGTAGAACAACTCCACCTTCCATTTCAGTATGTTGTGTTTGGAGTGAAAGAAATACGAAAGCTTCTTTCTAGTTTAAATAGAGTGATTAAGGTTATTTAGTACTTTAGTGAATGAGGATTAGCTATTTATAGTTGTTGATAGCAACTATATGTCATTGCTTACCTATGTTCTTCAAGCTTGGATTTGGTTCAAAACATGCAGAAGAGTCAGAGTTACTTTTCGAAAAAAAAAATAGAGTGAGAGTGGTCAATTGCAAAAAGCTAATCAAAATGGTATCAAACCCATTTCACACTGAGGTTTCCAATGTGTCATTTCTTATGCCATAAATTAACCAACAGAGAGAAGTTCCAAGGAATCGACATGAAAAATGGCAAACCCAATTCGTAGCTTCCTTGGGTAGCAATGTTCTTAATTAAGATAAAAAAAGAGGGGCATAATTAAATACATACAGAGGAGATAGAGAGCTAGTTTTACACGGATCCATCACCTTGAGAATCAATACCAAGTGTATGTACAGAAGGGTTTTCAAGGGATCACCAATACTAATAAATATTTTTTTTTAATTTAGAAAATAAAGATTCACATCTTAATCTTTAAATAAGGAGATAATCTAATAAATCAAATACCTGAATACATCAACACTAATAAATACTTATTTGCTACTTTTCTTCCAACTTATATCATATCATCTTTATATTACTATTTATATTTAATGCTAATTTTTTAGGGCCACTCATCCTTCGTCACCCCCTAGGCCTTGGTGTATATATTCTTCACTTTAACCCATTGAATTTGTTGGTAAAAGGTATGGGAATTTAAACATACATTTTCTTAAGAATGCATTTTTTTTTTGTGTTTTATAGATAATAAATAAAAAGATAAAAATATTGTGTTACGTATTAAGATTTAACGTAAATAAAAATTAATTTTTTTATGGAACTCAAACTCTAATTTTTGCTCAACTTAAATTCAACTTGTAAAGCCTAATCAAATATTTTAGGCTTTGTATAAGGTTAAAAAATCATAATATCAAGAATAAATTATGTATTTAGACTCATGTACTTTGTAAAAAAATTTTAAATTTAATTTTTGCACAATAATTTTTAAGATTTGAATTTTTATATTATTTTAATATGTCAATATCAATCCAATTATTTACACCATTTAAAATTTTTCATTGAAATTAATAATTTGACATTGATCATGCTGAGATGGCCTTGACCTAACTAATAACATGTTTTTTGTGCTAGTGTGGTAAATGTTGATGTGGCTTTCATCTCATTTTTATAGTTCGTTATTCGATTTTCATTGAGTTTAAAAAAATAAATTTTTATTTTGATATATTTTATGTTAAAAATTTTAGATTTTACTTTATAAAATTGATGTCCCACGATTTCTTCTGATATATCAAAATAAAATATCCGAGCAAGCATGTACCTAGTCATTAGTATGGAAATTGTAAGAACCAATACGAAATGCCTAGACCAACTGCTACTAGTCTTTCTTTTTAACTAGTCAACTTCTCCAAATTTAATTACTAACCATAATCAATAATTAATATATCAATTTAGTTTGACTACTCGACTTTTACGAATTTAATTAATTCGCTTCACTTCTTTCATCAAGAAAATTACTTTGCTGCACTTAATTAATCATTGAGAGAAAGAAATGGAGAAGGAGATGAAGCTGCAACACTTTAGCCACATACACCCACTGATCTTCACCAAAGAGCAAGTTAATGAAGGCGAGGAAATTAATTGTTCAGGGTGTGAGAAAGCAGTGTTGGGTCCAAGCTACAACTGTTGTAAATGCAAGTTTTCCCTTCATGAGATATGTGCAAAGCTACCGTTTAAGATCAATCATCCTTTCCATCGCAACCACCCTCTTATTCTTCAGTCTGAGCCACCTACTCAGTACACCGAATGTCTCTGTGATTTTTGTGATAAAACTTGCAATAGCTTTGTCTACCGTTGTTTTACTTGCAAGTTTGACCTTGACATACCATGTGCTTTGCTGCAACCGCGAGAAACCGGAGATTTCCTAGAGCTTGAGCGTTTCAGCCACAAACATCAGTTGATATTCATTGAGAATCATGTTAGTCAAGGCAAAGAAGTTAGTTGCTCTGGATGCAAGGAAATGGTTTCCGGTCCTGGCTACAGTTGCTCCCACTGCGAGTTCTTCCTTCATAAGAAATGTTATATGTTAGCCCCGGAGATTAATCATCCCTACCATCGTGAACACTCTCTTATTCTTTTGACAAATCTACCACCTTCTTATTCGAGTTGTGTTTGCGATTTTTGTCATAAAACTTGTCAAGGATTTGTTTACCATTGTCCTTCTTGCAAGTTCGATCTTGACATCGAATGCGCTTTCTTGCCTCTATGCATCACTGAACCTGAAAGTCATAGACACCAGTTCATCCACCTGATGAAGGCACCCTCGTTTATATGTGATGCCTGTGGCGTTAAGGGTAACCATCACCCATATTTATGTACTCTGTGCCAAGTAATAGTCCATGAAGAATGCAGATTTTTATCGCACACCATCAAAATAATAGGCCACCGTCATCCTGTCACACAATTCTACTTCCTTCAAGGAAGTAAGTACAGTAAGCAACATTGCGGCATTTGTCACAATGAAGTGAGCTCAAACTATGGTGGTTATGGTTGCCTTGGCTGCAATTTTGTTGCTCATGTGAACTGTGCAGCGGCAAATTCTGTTTCTATGGATGAAACTTTGCTGAAGAGTGAAGGTCAAGATGAAAACATAGTCTTCAGATCAGATGAATCCTCTAACTCAATCACAGATATCATCAAAGAGATCAACCTTGAAGGGGATATGGTAGCTATAGTGGTCAAGCATTTTAGCCATCCACATAAGTTAACCCTCAATGAAAAGGTCAACGATGATAAGCTTTGCGATTGTTGCATAACACCCATCTTAGAACCATTCTACAGTTGTCTAGAGTGCGACTTGTTCCTCCACAAAACCTGCCTTCAATTGCCTAAAAGGAAGGAACATCCTCTTCACCCACATCCCTTGACCCTTCTTCCAAATCATCCTAATTTTGAAGGCTTGTTCTTCTGCGATGCTTGTCATCAACGCTGCCATGGCTTCACCTACAATTGTGACCCATGCAATTTCAACCTTGATGTCCGGTGCGGTTCATCACCAAACACCGTTAAACATGAAGCACATGAGCATCCCCTTATATTCAGTAAAGGAACCGAATGCATTGACTGCAGTGCTTGTGGTTACGGTAATGACTACTTTTACTCGTGCTTTGATTGCAACTTTGCCTTAGACTTCAACTGTGCTTCTTTACCACATACGGTGAGGCATAGGCACCATGGACACCCTCTTGATCTCACTTACCAAGATAGCGCGGATCAAAATTACTGCAACATTTGTGAAGAAGAAAGAAACCCAAAGCACTGGTTCTACTGCTGCAAAACATGCAACTTTTATGCTCATCCTAAATGCGCTACTGGGCAGTATCCGTACATCAGGCTTGGAAAAACATATCCCTATGAAGCTCACCCACATCCTGTTGCCTTTGTCCATAAGACAAGGAGCCACCCTCCGTGCAGTAGAAGTGGTAACCCTTGCAAAGGCCTGGCCCTTGAATGTACTAAGCCTCAGTGCAATTTTATCATTGAATGGTGTCATGTAGAAATCCTCCATTTCTAAGATCATTGTAATGATGTCATGAAGCTACTGTAAATCATCATTTTTCGTAGGCTTTATTCGATTGAACTTTGCCTGTATACTTGTTATTGTTTGAGTGATTTTAAAGGTGGCTAAAAAAGAAACACTGCGGCCAAAACTGGGATCATTTCCTGCACCAAAAATCCAGTTACGATCACAGCAGAAAATCTTGAGGTTTAGTGAAATACTGCTAAAAATTGTTAAAATTTCTGGCTATTTTATCATGTTGCTAAGAGAGTACTGTACAAAGATGGGGATGATCAAATTTAAGCGTGAAGGCAAAGATATTGACTCACATAAGGTAGTGAAGTGAAATGAAAATTAATCCTGCCAATTGTAAGGATGTAAGGTCATTAAGCTTAATTAAAAAATTTAATTAGAGGTTAGTTAGCATGCGCTATAAATTTATTAAGAAGGTCAAAAGAAAATGTGTCATCACGCCATTGCTACATTTAGTAGACAATCAGAAATGACAAAAAAGCACACAAGAATTCTAACAAAAGGGTGTTAGAGCTTTAGTTGTTTTAATCTGAAGCAGAGTACATTATTTGATCTTTTTTTTTCTTTTTGGGAGAAAACAGAAAACATACCGAGAAGGACCAAGCAAACATGAGGTGAAAATAACAACTAGGATTGTCTGGATTCTTCTTTGAAGGTAAAACCTAAAGCAAGTAAAGATACATGTTGTGAGGGATCATAGATGGGATCATAACGAAGCCTATTTAGGTTTATTGCTGTGAAGAGTATGATACAAACAAGAACCTTCCTAAGGGGCATAACTCACTCAACCACCTAAACACACTGATTCTGAGTCTCCCTCATCCTCTTCAATGATCCCACTCGTATCTTCCCTAGTTATACTCATGCTTGAGGCTGATGAGCCAGCAATATCTGAGAAATTCTTGTGCAGAAAGATTGCCGTTCGCTTGCGTCTGCTATGGTACCATTTACTTAGTAAATCAGAAACCTCATTTTGATCATTGCTGCCACTGATTAGTGGTTCTATGGATTCCTCTTCCCCTGTTCCTCTTTCATCTCGGTTACTGAAACCTGCTGTTATCTCCGGAAAGAATAGTGGTTTAAAGCAGCCAATGAGAATTATAAGGAACATTATGTAAACATTGAAAGATGTCCACACAGACAGCGTCCACTTCCAATTACGGAGCAATTGTTTATTCCAAGGTAACTGCGAGTTCATAATGATTTCAGCTTCATACAACTGTGGAAGCAATGAAGTCCCAGCCCTTGGAGCCAAAATTACCCTAACAGCTTCAGTTCTTGGATGTCCTTCTTTGTGTCTCAATATCTCAATTTTTATCTTTTGTGTCTCACTTGAAATTCCAAGCAAGAGATGTAAACCCAAGAGAAATGTTCGTGCAAGTTGAACTGGTAGGCTTCTGAACCACAACATAACAGGCTGGCTAGACTTTGCAATTACATTTCCATTACTCGATAAGAGTTCTGCAGTCAACTGATAGAACAAATATGTGAGAAAACAACTGTTTACATCCTCATATTTACAGATATTTGAGCATGCAGTAGATGGTAGAACAGGGCAGGTAGTTGCTAGATACAGACAAAACAACTCCCTAGACTTCAGCCAAACCATGTTTATACCACACTTTCCCTGACATCAATATATAACAATTAAAGCTAGAAAGAAAAGTTGCACAATCTTCTTACATGACTTTGAGAGTAAAATGAAAGGACAGAGAGCATGTAAGTAAATGTATTGTGGAAGCGAATACTTTCATTTACAACACAGAATAAATGGGATGGAAGTTTCTAAGTCTTCACTGCAGTGGCAGTACACACTCATGAGCATATATAGAAAAGGCATAAGTAACCCTCATATAGTCTCCAAGAAAACCATATTAATTTTGTAGGAAACTATGGTTGATTCAACCATCGAAGCAATAAAGGTAATTGACACTGCATCTTTTGGCCAGAGATTTGGGATTGAAATGGATGACATTTGCAATATCAATAACAAGCACAAGGAGGATAGACCTTTTATTTGTTAGTGCAGAACAGATGATAGACAAAGTTTAAGACTTCTATCTTTAGTTTCCAATGCTCACACAAATTTGGGCGATCAAGTTTTGAAATCCGAGGTTCAAGTGCATGGCATTAGCAAATGTTTGAAATGTTGCTAAAATCTTAACTTCTGTATTTTAATTGTGGGAAGGGGTAGAGACCAGTGCCCTCATTTTCCATTCATTATTAATATAAAATTCGAATTGAATTAAAAAATGTCAGTTGGGGGTGGGGGGGACAAAACTAGAGAAGTAGAGTGCTTAATTGATCTATAAATTCAACAAAAATCAAAGAATGTAGATATGAATCGGAATACCTGAAACACCCCAATATGCCAATTGAAATCAGATTCAGGCATCAAAAGAACCAAATAAACATGAAATGTATGACCAACTGGAACAGCCATTTGCCTCTTCCTATGATTGCTGCAGTCAAACCCACTACCACCAAAACACAACACTGCCTTAGGATTCACCTCAGTGTAATCAAAGTACAATTTCTCTCTAACAAAAACAGGCTCTTCCAGCCAAGTTTGCACCAACCCAATTCCCACCAAAGCAGCCAAAACCATCACCAAAACCAACACCATGCACACTTGTGCAGCTCCCAGAAGTCCCAACCCAACTCTCTTCAACAAGATGATGCTACCATGAGTGATTTCAGAAGGGACCTTTTGAACGGCCGTTCCGACGCTTGCCATTGTCTCTTCAGCACGGTGGTACGACTCTGAGGCTACAGAAAGGAAGGTGGAGAAAGGGGAAGCAAGGGTGATAAAACAGTTGTAAAGGGCATCAGCTTGAAGAGATATTAAGCTGGTGAGCCAGTCAGCTGGTTTTGGTATAACGCGGTAGGCTTCTACTTCTTGTTCTTGCTCCTCCATTACAGATGTTTAGATTGAAGAGAAAAGAGACCAAATTTGTTTTAGGATGATTGAACTGCTGGGTAAAGCTGCTTCTGCATGAGAAGAAGTGAAACGTGGAGGCAAAGGCAGGTGGCATATGGACAAGTGTTAGTGAACCTGCATTCTGGCTGTAGTTTACTACTCCTTGCGTCATTAGCGTCGTCATAAGAAAAATTTTGGAATTGAAACGTAAAAGTTAAAGAATTTGAAAAAAAATAGAAAGACTTAGGCACAAAAAAGAACAAAAAGGAGATATTAATTTTTGCTATAATTCTTTTAAAGTTATTAATTATTTTAAAAAATTTAAATAAACTTTTTTAATTATATTAAAAAAGTTTATATATTTTTATATTGAATGAAGTGTGCTTTTATTACTAACAATTGATTATTGTAATTAATTAAAATATTATTTATTATTTTATATATATAATATTAATGTGAAAGGTAAAAAATGGTATATATAATCGTATTATATCAATATTTATCATGACATATCAGCATATCATATCAATATCTCATAGTATAAAAGGACAAGTGACGTTTTGACAAATAAGAATTAATCCACTATTAATTATAAAAGTTTATTTGGTTTATAATAAAAGTATAAAGACTAGTTTTTCAAAAAAAATATAAAGATTTTATTAAACCTAATAAAAAATAAGCACATAAACATTTGGTTCATTTATTAGTATATAATCCTTTTGTCTAGAGAGTAGGGTTCGAATCCATTTCTCTCAATTAAAAAAATATAATAAAAAATAAAAAATTATTTAAATTGTCTTAAACAAACAAAGATTTTTTTAAATATTATATTTTTTTTATGTTGAAGCTTGTATTATATACAATAAAACCTCGATAAATCAATAACCTTGATTAAGTAATATTTTTGACTGGTCCCGACTTGGACTAACATGCTAAATTTATAAGATAAAACATTTAAAAAAAATACATAGATCTCACTTGATATATAAATTAATAATCTCCTTATACATCAAAATTATATATTTATGATTGAATTATGACACTTTTATAAAACATGACTTCAATATTGCTTGTTTCTTCTTGAAATTAATGTTTCATTAGACTTCATCTCTAATTTTTCTTAGTATATTAAGAAGATCTAATGTAGTGTTCTCGTATTGTAAGAAAAAGTTATACAACGTGATTGTTACTTTAAGTGCATCTTGATCATATTTAATATTGTTGCTTAGCTCATTTGCAAGTTAAACTTTTTTTACACAGACTATTACAATTGCTTTTGCGTACAATTTAAATTTTTTATATTATACTCACATAATACTTTACAAATTTCATCTATCATTATTGATTTCTTTCCATCTCAAGAAATCATTGTGTTTAGTTTTACTGTTTGCAATACTTTATGTTCTTTTTATAAATGTGTTTCCTTAACTTAATGTTCATGAAGTATATTAATTAAGTATATATTGAATGTAATTTTAGTTCACTGCAAAAAGGGATAAATTCATAACTTTTATTTAATAAGACTAATTACATTCATAAACTTATTTTAGTTAAACAAATATATAGAATAATAATAATTCGTAATTCAATAATTATATAATATTTGTATAATCACGATACACAATACATGTATTAAGTTTAATATTTTAAAAAAATATCTCAATAAATTAATTTTTCATTAATTAATATATAAATTAATAAATTATTAATTTATTGATTAAATAATATCTCGATTAATTAATAAATTTTCATGATCTAAGGGTATTAATTTATATAAGTTTTACTATAATAGTATAATTATTCATGTCTCTTTACTTTTTGCTTTTCGGATTCAACTACTTAACACATTTTTAAGTAAGGGTGAAGCTAACCAACTTTTATTGGGGGTTAAAAAATGAAGAGAAATAATGTATAAAATATAAATAATTAAAAATAATATTCAAGATTAATAATTTTCTCTTATATAATCAGTATTGTTTAAAGACTAAATCCTCAAAAATAATTTCCTTTCAACTAAATATAAAACATAAAGCACATAAAAAAATCTTATATAATCAAGATTAATAAAAAAATGATATATTGATGAAATTTTAAGCAATAATTAATAATGCAATGCTACAACCCATATTTGAGAATTACATAATAATTTTTTAATGTTTACATAATTAAATCATTGAGAACACGTAACAAAAAAATATATATAGCAAGTAGAAAATAGAATTGCATTACAAAAAAAAAAGAAGAATATTATTGATGATTCGTAAAAATTTAAAGAAGAAAATCTATAGAAACTTAAAATATATGATCAAATAGAATAAAATTAAAAAAATAAATAAATAATATAAATAGAAAAAAAAAGGTAAGAAAAACTTTACCTATTTGTAATTTCACAATAAAAAGAGAAAAAAAAAGAGAAACAGAAAAAGGAAGAGATAAAAAAGGTGTGAAGAAACATAAAAAGGGCAAAATTTACGAGTTAGGGTAAAATTAAATGAATTTAAATGGTCCTTTTATTATTTTTTATTCATATTAATAATTTAATATAAAATTATTTTAAAGGCCTATTTAAAATATATATATAATATATTATATTAATAAATTAATAAAAAATTATTTTGGAGGCTCATTAAAAAATATATGTAATATATAGAAATTTTTAAAATTTGGGGGCTGTGTGAAGGGACTCTCCACCCCTGTTCTTAAGTGAACTTGGTTAAATAAAATAAATTTTGAAATTAAATAATATGATTACAGTGTGTTTGTTCTCAATCATAAACTAGATATGAACTTGTTGTTGCAACTTGCAAGTATGATTTCCTTTGAAGTTAAATTATAATTCTTTTTATTGCAAAGTAGAAATAGTATAAATAAACTAACTACTTTAATAATGTCCAGACCGTAAATTAACACAAGTAGGAGGAATTTGACTGCATGATGGTAAAGTTAAAAACTAAAATTTTCTCTTATGTTTGCAACTTCTTGCATGACCGTAAATTAACACAAGTAGGAGGAATCTTCTTAAAACTAAGTAAGCGTAAAGAAGATTCAAAATAGTTAGAAAAAACTGATGTCAAAGGCAATTTAATTTAAGTATGAG